CCTTCGGACAAAATCCTAACAATTCAAATTCTAACTCAACTGTTCCACGTGCGGCATTTTCTTTTGGCGGTCAACCTATGCAGCCACCTATGCAGCAGCAACAATCAATATTTCAAAGTACGCCGTTGAATTCAATGGTTCTACCTGAAGCGTGTCAGTCGTACCGCTCTACACTAAAGGCTCCACATTCCGATTTATCTTATGAAGATACTGATGAAATGTCAATAAACAATCCTAGAAAAAAGAAAAAAGAAGAAGAAAAATTTCCAACAGATGACCAAGACATTGTTCGTTATTTAATTAACAAACAAAATTTCAATGGCCTTTGGAATTTCGATTCCGAAACTATAAAAAAACTAACTGGAAAATCATTAGATGAATTTCAACAATCAACAAACGATGAATTAGTCATTGCAACTATTATTATTATTATTCTATTAGAAACACGTTTTTCATCATTTTCATCAATGTCACATGCAATTATACAAAAAGCAAGAAAACAAATTTTGGATTTACTTGGCAAAGATAATAATAAACTTCAAAACTTATTCGATGATATTCGTAAACAGTTTTAAATTACTTTTTAATGTAACTCTTTCGTTTTAAATGATTAAAATATATATTCCGGATCATTTGTTAAACTATACTTATACAAAACTAAATCTATTTTTGTCACAGCTTCTACTCAAAAATTTTCCATTTTGATATATACATGTTAAAGGAAAAATCAGTTTATTGTGAAACTATTTGAATATTTATATTCTAGTTCAGACAAAAAATGCGCTCATTCTTTTTATTAATGATAGAGATATATTTATAGAGATTCTTTCTTTGATATCTTATTTGTCAAAAAAGAGTGCAATTTTTTGTTAAATTTAATAATAGTACTATGAAAAGATGTTCACTGGTCTTCTGTCTGTCGGAATTTGAAGTGTAAACATGCGCCTCTGTTATCAATAAAAAACTGAGGTCGTTTAGTCGAAGAGTAATGTAGATATTTAATTTGTTTCATGGTAGAGTGACTTTTGCTCGATACTGTCCGTATATGTAAACGTGTATATTTGTTGAATATATATCAGAAGGAAAAAAAAACAAAAATAAAAGCTCATAAATAATTTAGTTTTTCATGATATCATTGTAATGAACTATAGTATAGAAAGTCTTATGAGTTCTGTCTGATAAGATATTAGAAAAAAATGATTAGTTTTTATATAAATATGTCTTTATTGAATAACTTTGTGAGTATCATATATATATATATGAATTGAAAGTACTGAGAGTTAACTTTGAAACTAAAATCTTCAATTTTTATTTGTTTTTATGTCTATGAATACATTATTGTTTATAAAAATCTCTTTTTAAGAAATAAATTTTTGTTGTTTATTGAAATTCAACTAATTAGTTAATATATTTTGTAATATTAGACACAATTTTCTATATCAATTTTTGGTTGATCATCTTTGAAATATGAAGAATATTCAATGAAGTTCGTTATAATAAACATAGATGTGCATCAACACGTTTTGTTACTCATATATTTATATAAAATAAAGGTAACTCATGTGTAAACGATATGATGATATAAAAGTCATTATTTTATTTTTTTTCTCTTTCTTCCTGTAGTATATTTCTATATATTTTGTCTTATGACTGTACAAAAAACGTGACAGAAAATCAAAAGTTACATTTATTTTATTTTTATGAGGTAAGATAATTGCTCTTTTTTTTATTCTAAATAATAAACAAATAATTTTAATTTGAAAATTTAAAATTCTTGTCAATCTATTTTGTATTTGTTAACTATGATTATAACTAATGACAATTGAAAATCAAAATTTAATTGCAATGATAGAATTACCACATGATAATATTATGGATGATAATAATAGATCTTCCAGAAACAATGAAACTGATGAAATGCGAAGATATATTGAAGAATCTCGTGAAATCAATCCTCGTTTTTTAAGTCAAACAATTGTTAATGATTCTTCAAATAATCTTAATTCAATAATTGATTATGTTAATGAACCATTATTATCATTAATCGATGCATGTCAACCATTATTCATTTTTATTCCTAATTTATCAGATTATATTGAAATTGCACTTGAAAAATCTAAAATAATCAAAGATAATCTTACACAAGATGAATCGGCATCAATATATCTTTATACAATGAAATTATTAGAAGAATCAAATAGTTTTTATATTTTATTAAATAATAAACTTAAAAATACATTTAATTCAAATGAACTTCGTCCATGGTATAAATATTTGAAATTATTTCTAACAGCTCTATCCAAACTTCCATTTACATCATCACAAGTTGTTTGGCGTGGTATTAAAAGAAATATAAGTGATGAATTTCGTGAAGGTTCACATATACTTTGGTGGAGTTTTTCATCATGTACAAGTTCACTTCAATTACTTCAATCTGATATTTATTTGGGCAATGTTGATCAAAGAACATTAATTTCTATTGAAACAATTAATGGAAAATTTATTCAACAACATTCACAATTTAATAAAGAAGAAGAAATTCTTCTTTTACCTGGAACATATATGAAAGTTCAATCAAAACTTAATCCATCACCAAATCTTTATATTATTCATTTAAAACAAATTATTCCTCAACAAAATATTCTTCTTCCTCCATTTCAAGGTATATTTTAATAAAAATCATTTCTTATTCTAATATTTTAATTAAATCTAGGTGCTGTGATTTATCCAAGAATACAAACAAGAAAATGGTATCAAAGAAAAACATTTTTAATTTCTTTAACTGTATTAATTATTATTTGTATCATTGCAATTATTCTTGGCATAGTATTTCGTACAAGAAAACATTCTTCTACTAAAAAATAAGAGGATGTCCATTTCGAAAACTTTTGTTTGAAATAAAATAAAGACAGTTGATTCAAATATCAAATGTACAATAAACAAAATGATTTAGTTCTATATCTACGAGATTTTTTTCATTGACTGAAAAGTTTATCAAATATAAACGTCAGTAGTATCAGATATCTTTATCACAATTCAAACTCAATGGTAATGATAAGAAGGAGGATCTATTGTCGTACTATAATGTTCAAAAAATAAAATCTTTCGAGATTTATATTGAAACAAAACTGTTGATATGATTATATAGAATCTGTTTGACATAAACTTACACCATATTTCAATGATGAAATTATTTTCATCGCTAAAGTCATTTTTTATTGCTATTACTAATAACGATGCATATGTGATAGAAATACATTGGTTGAACTTGGCGCATATGTAAAAATTACGAAGATTTATAATCATCTTCTTCAAACAAAAAAAATTCGGAAATGATTTTTTAATTTGAATTTGCACTAATTTTACCTTTTTAAACTTCTTGTTTTTGTAAATTGAAAATATAATTCTTTTATTGATTATTATGTAAATCTCGTAAATTCAATATTAAAACTAATATTATTTGCTTATTTTATTGTTCAAATGTCAAAAATAATACAATAGCATATTCTACATTTCAGTTTAATTCAAAAACAAAAATTATTTCTATTTATATAAATGAAATATAATCGAAACTGAAGAATTAAATCGATTTTCTGGTTATGGAAAAACATATATAGATGTTCTTTTATTACTTCATATTAATATGAATAGATATTTTGAAGGAATAATTGATCAATTAATAAAGTTGATATTTATGTTGATTCTCGTCAAAATTCAATAAGAGTTTATGGTGAAAATGTATTTTATTCTTGCGATAGATTATCATTTAATATAAATACATCATATTTAGAAATAATTTTATTCATATTCAATTTTATTTTCGATTCAAATACCACAATTAATAATCAATATCTTTTTTACAATTGAAAGTTAAAACATAATTAAACTCATCTGATTATTCTTATTTTCTATTTGATAATAATACGTATCAAATAGATTTCATTATATTCCATTGCTTTTTCAACCATTTCTAACAATATCAACAATTAGTAATACAAATTATTTTCAATTACTTTACATAGCGAAGCTATACTCATTATTTCAAACTTATGAATCACATGAAAAAGTAAGTAAAATATTTTCACACGCCTTTATTTCATCTATTTTTGAAAATTGTCAAAAAGTTTGAGAAGGGAAAATCTTTGTAACACTTATTCATTTGTATATATAATACAATTTCTTAGAAAATGAATTATTTAATCTGCGTAAAACTATAAAAATGTTCTTCTCAAATGATAATATTAACTAATTAAATTCTAAATATTATTTCTATACTTTTTCACATTAATTCATAAATCAATATTTAATCAAAATGAACGAGTAACAAGTAATTGGAATACTTACAAAAGAAATTATATTAATAATGATTAGTTAATTAAAAATAGAACATTTTCATTTATGAAATCTTAAGTTACTATTTTTATCACAATGTTATTCTCAGAAAAGTTATTTTGAAAGTTCAAAACAAAAAAACAAGACTCTGTCTTACGATTTCAATAAAGAAAAACAATTCCAGTCATCGAATTAATAGTTGATTATTTTCGAAATCGTATTTTGTCATAGATAGAATGCAATAGAGTGGGTGTGAGTGTGGGTGTGAACGTGATATAAATATTATATCAATACCCATACCCATATCCTCACTCACACCCACATCCTCACCAACACTCCCATCCACACCCACATCCACACCCACATCCTCATCAATACCCACACTCCCATCCACATCTACACCCACACCGTCAAGGAATGGTCAAGAAAATACTATTGATTATCTATAGTCAATATAGTAAACAGAAAGAAAAAAAAATAGTACCTGAATTATACTAGAAGAACAGATGTATATAGTCGCTCTTGACTGAAGAACGAGAGAGAAAATATCTACGTCATCATAGAAGTATAGAAACCTTGATTTGACATTTTAGAATTACGTTGTTTTTATATAAACTACGTAATAATGAAATTTCTTACTGATCGAATGTAGTTAGTTTTTTAGTGTAATTTTAATTTATTAACGAAGTGAAAAAATAATTTACTCAAATTTTAATATTGAAAATTAGCAATTAGTTTTTTTTTACTGTGAAACTTTGAATCTACCTCGCGACTAATTATTCCATTTAGATTTAAAATATTTATTGAGCAAATAAATTATTACCTTTGTTTTATATGATTGGAAAAATGAAATTCTAATCTCAATTGCATATAACAATCGAAATAAATTTCTGTTTGATTAATTTATATTACGGTGATTTATCAAGTTTCTATCCAATAAATAAATATGTTTTGACATGTTTCGAACACATGTTATCAATCATTTCATTTTTTTTTAAGTCGAAAATCGACATAATCATATGAAAGATAATATAGATTGAAGTGTTTTATCGTATTTTGACAAAAGAATATAAAAAAAAGTTATTTATATCAGTTCTTATCTTATTTTACCAAGAAATCTATATTTAATATAGATTAGATTTATTTCAAATGTTATTTATTGATAAAAATTTAGTGTATGTAATTGAACTAAAATGTTATATGGTTTTTATTAAAAGATAAAAAAAAGAAACGTCATCGGTACATAATTGTCTAGGACTAAAGTTAAATAAATGTAACAACTACTTTGAAAGTGATGCATTCATAACAATAAATAAAAAAAAATCAACGAAAGAACTTTGAAAGAAACGGATCACAAGAAAAGAAAATGTCTAAGACATAACATTCGAGAAGAAACGAATAAAAGAAAAATGAAAATATAGACTTCTTTTATTCATATCTTATTTGACTAGAAGATTTAATGCTTTATACGATTTCCATTACTTGTCGTTGCTGTTGATGGTGTTGATGATGTGACATGTCGAATGGGTGTTCCAGGATCTAGAATTAATAAAATAATAATAATTTACATTTGTGTTTTTTGTGTGTATAATTAATAAAGGAAATTAGTTAATCAATCTTTCTATTTTTCTCTTTCATTTAAAAGAAAACTGAGTTAATACAAAAGCAAATAATTTGTGCTAATTTGTGTTCCTCGTTGAATGACGCCTGTTTTTCTATTGTGTAACATCTTACCAGGAATAGTACTATTGTTCGTGGAGCGTCGAAGAGCAACGAGGAACACCAAATAGCACAAACTGATTGTATATGTTATTGCAATGAAAAGTTTATCAAAAAGCCAAGCAAAATGATCATTCGAGGTTTTAGCTAGATAAAAATCAAGCACAATCAGAACACAAAAGCAACCATTCAAAACAAAAGCGAAATAGACATTAGTTTTTACCCACCTGTTAAACTATTTCGAGATAAAATTGTAGAATCTATAGAAAATAACAACAAAAATGATTAGTTTTATTTTGATTGTTTTTTTGTTTGTATTTTTAGTTAATTGTGCACTATTAACTAACCTGGCTTTTGTGTAATTGATGTTATTATTGGAACATCACTGTCCGATGAAGCTAGAGTTTCACTAACTACTTTACTTACTACAGTTGGTCCAGCAGTTACTCCAGAACCTATTTTAAATATTTGAAAAAGAATAAAAAATGAGTTAAGATTTAAATATGTGGAATGTTTTGTTTACCTTGAGTATAAGCAGTTACAATTGTTGATTTAACTGTCCAATTCGATTCATGTGTATGTGAATCAATTAATGGTCTATTGAATTAAAGAAAAATAAAGAAAATTTTGAAAAAGAAGAAGACAAACAATCAAATATACTGAGTATTTCCAAGTAACGTAGTTGTTTTTGGTATGAGTGCTGGTGCTGGTGCTGGTAATGTTGTTTCTTTTGCTGAAACTTTTGTAAATGTTGATTGTGTGGCTTCTTTTACTGAACTTTTAGTAACATTTGGTACTTGCTGAACTGTTGTTGTTGATGCTTTTACTGAACTTGTTGGAAGATTTGTTGTTGATTGAAGTGGTAATTCTTTTGGTGAACTTTGTGTAACACTTGTTTTTTGCTGTGTTGATTCGTTTACTGCACTTTTTGTTTGATGTGTTGGTTCTTTTACTGAACTTTTTATTGGATGGGCTGGTTCTTTTACTGAACTTTTTGTTTGATGTATTGGTTCTTTTACTGAACTTTTTACTGGATGGGCTGGTTGTTGTATTGGTTCTTTTACTGAACTTTTTACTGAATGGGCTGGTTGTTGTGTTGGTTCTTTTACCGAACTTTTTGTTTGATGTATTGGAATGGTTGGTGGTGATGGTGTTGTTTCTTTACTTGAATTTTTGAGAATACTTGGTGGTGCTGGTATTGTTGTTGTTGTTTTTTCAGGTGTTATTTGTCTTTGTTGTGATGGATGATATTGTTGTGGAAGATGAGATATGTTACGTTCTAATTGTTGTTGAATATTTGAAAATGAATCTCGACCAAAATAATCAATATGACCAGCTTCCCAAGCACGACGATGTGCAGCTGAACCTGATTCCATTCCTTGATGAGTTATTAAATTTCCATAATTTAATGAACCAAAATGTTGATTTCCAAAACCCTATTTAAATTAAAGAATTTTATTATTTTCAAAGAAATATCAATTTATCTCTGTTCATAGATAACAGTAAACTAGATGCAAGATATCAACAAACTTATTCTCTTAGATTAATATAAAAACAAAATCTGCATTACTTGTTTATCACCAAATGATTGATTGTTTGTATTGGATAGCTAAAAGATAGAAGTAAATATGACGTTCATTTAAATAAACAAAAAACTTACAGAATCAAATTTAGATAATTTTGGCCAAACTCGTTGATACATAACTCTCCACCATGAAAGAAGAAAATCTCGTTGAATATCACTTTGACCACTTAAATTGCCTGATAATTGTTCATTTTGTGGATTATATGATAATTGCCATGGTTTCATTGCACCAGCAAAATGAATAACATGAATATCATGACGAAATCTATGAGAATTGTTTTTTTTAGTTTGAAATAAATTCAAATAAATTCAAATCTTACCGTGTAACAGCTGGTAAATATGAATAAAATGCATTTGCTGTTACATTATAAGTAAATGGTAAATGACGAGAAATATCTTCTGTACGCCAATTTGAAAAATAATGATTTAAAAGACCTTGATCACCACCTAAAGAAAAATTTAATAAATAAATATATATTTTAAAAACAAAATATAAATACCATCGAATGAAGCATCTTGTTCAGATGCAAATGTCATTAATTTTGTAAATGTTTCTTTTGATGGTTTATAAACAAAAACACCTGAATTAAAACAATCGGGCCAACCAGCATCAGGTGCTGCTGATAATTCTTCACGTTGAAATAAATCATCAATATTACGTAGAACAACACAATCAGAATCCAAAAAAACACATTTTGTATATTGTTCTAAAAGCCAACAATTGATTTTTGTATATGTTATTCCAAGTTCAGGACGACGTAATAAAGCTAAATGTTCTTCATCATTTGAATTTAATTCATCAACAATAATAACTTCATCAAAACATGATTCTAATGTTTCTCTAAAATATTAAAATGAATTTTTTATTTGATTTTAAATTGATTAAATAATTACTTACTTGATTAAATCAGATAAATGATTTGAGATGAGAACAACTAAATTTGCTTGTGTTCCAACTTGACGAAGTGATTCAGCAAGAACAAGTGCTCCAAGAGCATAACCATCATTTGTTGCTAACGTTACAAATGCTTCAGACGACATTTATTGAACAAGTACTGGATGAACTTTAGTATATAGAAAGAAATAATATAATGGTAAATATTTTTGTACAACAAAAAAAAAGAACACGACTATTTAAACCAATTCTTATCATTGAATAGATCGAACGGACTTATACTCTATATTATCACGCAGGGACTGCATGTTTTTTTATTAAAAAAAATCATTTTGCAGGTACAAACGTTATAACTGCACTTTAAACAAAAATGACCCTAATGCCCTTTACTCTTACTTAACTGAAGCTGATTTTGTCTTTTTTTGTCAAAACTGAAGCGTATTCTGTGCGTGATTCAAGCATAATATATGATCGATCTGACATTAGACAAGAGAATATTTTCCAGAATAAGGATTATAGAAACAATATTGTTTTAAAATGAAATAAAATCTAAAGAATAGGCAAGTAGTAAAGAAACAGAGAAGAATACTGTCTGTCTACTGATTTCTTTCTTGTAACAAAAAGAATAAATTTCACAAAAGAAAGTCTTCGTTGATTTTTTTTTGGGATTTTTCATAAAATAAAATGATAAAACGAAGATAATAATTGTTCATTAAACAAAAACCTAATCTATTTCAGTTGAATCATATCATTATGATAGATGGCATTAAATATCACGGAGGTTTACAAGATTTATTTTCATTTGTTACATAATCAAGACCAATAAAATACGATTTCTTCTAAAAACTATGAATGATAATATCAATTCGTTTTTCTCTTTGGACCTTGAACTTTGAAGGAGAAATTTTATCTTCTATTCAATAAATTCATTTTGATTATGTTCAAAAATCTTAAATAAGAACATTTAAACAAACAATCTTATGCTATTGATTTATTTTTATTCGATTTATTGAAATTATAAATGAATATTTGTTACTGATTGGACATTTAACATATTTAATGTTACAAATTTCGTTAAGATGTGATATAATCAATAGATTTATTATTTGATCACAGACAAGATTATATATTTATATAATTTAAAATATGTTATTAAAAATACAATATTATTTCATTGAAAAGTAAAATTTTATTTAATTCTTATAGAGAAAAATAAGAATATTTGAAATTCTGTAATATCTTTTGAATATTTCAAACTAGAAAAGTTAGTTTTTTTCATTCTACATAAAGAATAGATTAAATATAATACTCATTGTGAGGAATAGATCTGAACTGACGAAGAAATACTCCTAGATGTTGAAACACTTTTCAGTTCTAGTGTCTCATACTGTGTATTATTCAATGAGCTGTGCCTATGTCGAAGAAAGTTCGACTTTTTAGTGACTTACATTCACAGTGATAGCAAAAGTGTACTTTGCAATTTTGATCTTAAAATTTATCTGTATAAAGACCTCAACTAGATTAGTTTGTATAAAAATTTTTGAATAATATCTTTTGGAGATGTAAAATTGTCAATGTAGAATAAAGTGAACGTACTATACAGTAAATTCATTAAAACCTTGGTATCTCCTCAGAAATCCGAACTTTTCTCTACTATAGACACCGCTCACTCAAAACTAAACGATGTGTGAAATTCTGACTGAAAAATGTTTCAACATCTGAAAATATTCTCTTATCAGTTTATTCAATTTCAAATCAGAATAAATGAATCGATTTTTCTTAATTACCAATACATGATCAAAAGAAAAAAAGAATTTTTATTTTTTGAAAGGTTATGACATTTTTTTGTTTTATTTTATTCTTCAGATATGAAATCTTTAGTGAGTTTTATACGTCCAACGATCTATAATAATTTAATTCGTCGATATGCATCAAATGAATCATCGGCTGCAAAAGATTTTGAAACAGCTAAATCTCGTTTAGAATCATCATCTGTTGAAGTTGATAATGAAACAAAATTAAAACTTTATGGTTTATATAAACAATCAACAGCTGGTGTTTGTTCAACACCAAAACCTGGTTTAACAGATTTTGTTGGTCGAGCTAAATGGACAGCTTGGTCGTCATTAGGAAAAATGACTCAACAAGATGCACAACAACAATATATACAAACTGTTCAACAATTAGTTGCTTCTTCTACATCATCAAATAAAAGTATTTTGATTTGAAAATAAAGCAAAATTTTTATTTTCAATATAGATATTGATTCAACATCGAAAAATACTGAAACAAAAAAAGAAAAAAGTGATTCAGCTGCGGATCATATTCAATTATTAAAAAAAAGTGAAGCACATTGGGAACTTGTACTCAATCGACCGGAAAAATATAATGCAATTACACAACCTATGTATGAACGTATTATACAAATTCTTGATGAAGCTGCACAAGATAAACAAGTCGTACTTCTTTCAATAGCTGCAAAAGGACCTTTTTATTCATCTGGAACTGACTTAGCTGACTTTGCTAAAATGGCTGTAAGTTTAATCTAGTTTATTTCTTATTAAAAATCATAGTCAATAATGCACATAACGTAACTTCGCAAATCTTACTATTGATTTTAAGAGTTAAAATGGGATGTATTTGAGTCATTCCTCACAAGTATAAAATTTATCTGTTGGATTTTTGTGTCATATGACAAAAGCAAAAGAATAATGAATACAATTTATATTTTTTCTTCATTTAATTTCTACTATGTTTTTTTCGGATGTGCGCGTCTAAAGAAGAAAATTCTTCAAAAAATCAATCACATTTCCATAGAAATATATACATAACAGAACACAATTTATAGAATAGTAGTTTTCGTTTTGTTTCTTAGACTGTTGAAAAAATGAAATGTTATTTATTGCTAGAAGAAAGTTAGTATTTATGATGAAGAATTTTGAAAAAAACAATAAGATCATCGACAATATTTATATAAACTAGGGATTGATCATCTGGAGATATCGCTATATATGACTAAAACAAAAAAAAAGTTTTAATTTATTTTTATTAATAAATGACGAAAAGATAATAAAGCAGATAAGCCAATTTAGAGTTCATAATAATATTTATTCTTCTATATAAAAATGCTAATTCTATAAAAAAAATGTTTTAGACATCAACAACAACTGATTTGAAAGGATCTGTCGAACGTGGTCAAAAAATGTTACAAACATTTATTGGGAAATATATCGATTTTCCTAAAATCTTAATTGCATTTATCCAAGGTCCAGCAGTTGGTATATCAGTATCAACATTAGCATTATTTGATGGTGTCTATGCATCATCACGTGCAACATTTGCATTACCATTTACACGAACAGCTCAATCAGCTGAAGGTTGTTCATCATTAGTATTTCCATCATTGATGGGTTCACTTCATGCTAAAGAAGTTCTTTTATTTGATCGTAAATTAACAGCTGAAGAAGCACAACAACGTGGTTTAGTAACACGTGTTATTGATGAAAAACAATTTGATGAAGAAAAAAATAAAATTTGTCAAAATATTCTTTCATTACCTAAAGGAAGTCTTTTAACAAGTAAACAATTAATGCAACAATGGACAAAAGAAACATTACATCGTGTTAATGCACAAGAAGTTGAAACTTTAAAACAACGTTGGTTAACTGAAGAATTTGTTCAAGCTATGATGGAATTTATGAGAGGAAGAAAGAAAGCTAAATAAACATTTCACTTCTGTTTTTTTTATTCGATTTCTTTCTTCTTCTTCTTCTTTTTTTCTTAAATTAATTATCTTACGTCTTTCTTCCTTCTTTCTTTAAGATAAAATGAATTCTCCTCGATTATCATCAAAAGAGGATGGATCATTATCTTCTCATGAAAAATATTATTTTGGTCCAAGTCGTCTTTTAACGAAACGAATTCATCTTAAATCACATGATGGAACATTAGATTTTACAATAACTGGAGGAAATGATGTTCAACCTATTCATGTTGCATCAGTTGTTTGGGCTTCACAAGCTTATTTACAAGGAATGAGACCTGGAGATCAAATTATTTCGGTTAATGGAATTTCATTTCAACCAAATATTAATTATGCAAAAGCTCTTCAAGTTTGTTTCTTGTTTTTTATTTTCAAAGAAACAAAATTAATTATAATAAGAGATATTGAGAATTCCTTCACATATCCTGTCGAGCATTTGATATAGAATAGTGAGTTAGAGCGTTTGAGGAATGTATCAACTAACAAATTTACGTGAGTTTTACAAAATAAGTTGCTGAAAGTAAGAAATATTGATTTTATAAATTTCGATCAAGCTAAGTGAGCTCCAAATTTGAAGTTTTTCAATAAATTGTAGCTTGTAACTTTGTGTTGTTTTTCTTGAGCATTACCAGTCGCGACACTCAGCACAGTCCAGAATATCTATTAGATCAAGCAAAAACAGTTAATTTCAAGTTTCACGTAGAGTTTTTCGCGAAAACTTAGACATCCATAAACTCCAAATTTAGAGTAGTCTTAACTTGTCCGTATATTTCTGTAGTTGACATTAGGATAAAATATTTCTTTTCCTTTTTTTCTATTATAATAATCTATATTTTATTCTTCATAGATTTTATATTCTTCACCTGAACTTGATATAATAATTCGAACACTTCGTATAAATGCTCTTGATGCAACATTATATGATTGGTATGATCCTGTTCAACAACGTTCAACATCACCACCACCTGGATCTTATCTTTCAACTGATGCTCAATTACCTTATTTTGAAAGAACAGTTTGTGTTTTAAAATAATTTAATAAGAAAAACTATCTTTCTTTTTATTAATATAGGTAACAATATCTGTTGAAAAAGGTAAACGTCTTGGTTTAGTAATACGTGGTGGTGCTGAATATGGTCTTGGAATCTTTATATCTGGTGTTGATAAAAATTCTCTTAGTGATCAATCTGGTCTTTGTATTGGTGATCAAATCTTATCTGTAAATGGAATTGATTTTCGTCATATAACACATACAGATGCTGTTCAATTATTAAGAAATGTTGATCAAATGACATTTCATTTAAGACAAATTAATAAATTACCTCAACCAAAAGATCAAAATAAATTAATAAAATTAAATTCTCAATTTAAAACAAAAATTCCATCAGAATCTAATGATATTCCATCAAAACCAACTCGTTTAATAAATCCGAAAAATAATTTTCTTGAACAAATTCTTGATGAAAATAAAAAGAATTTATTTAAAAATATTCTTAAAGAATATTTAGAAGAAAAAATACATATTGATCAATTAACTTTACCTCTATTAGATATTTTAAATAAACAAAATCAACAATATCGAGTAAAAGATTTTCTTTAAAATATTTTCTTTTTAAATTCACTTTGTTCTTCTATTAAAAACAAAAAAAAAGGTTGAAATTATTGAATCAATTAGAAAATTTCTACGTCCAAATGATCTTGATCGTTTTGATATTTATATTTTAAAAGATGATTTAAATACTTTAAAGGTTTGTATTAGAAATATAATTTTCAAAATATTTTTTTGTTACAAAAGTAAATATTCCATTCTAGTAAAAGATACAGAAAATCAGGTAAAAATAATAATTCAATCTAGACAATATATGTCTTGTGTGTTTGTCTTGCTCTCTCGTGCATAGTTTGACCATATTTGCTTTATGTTGTGTAATTAAATACTCTTTCTACATTGAAAACAAAAAAAAAACAACGAAACTAACTTATCTTAAAAATGAAATTTATTTTCAAATATTTAAATAAAATATTTTTTTTTTCTTGTAGTTATCTCATGAACGTTTAATTCAACATTCTTTATCATCATCACGAATGTCAATACATTCACCAGCACATAATTTGGTTTGTTTGTATTTTTTGTTTATTCGAAAAAAATAGTTTTATTTTTATTTTAGTCGAAATCAGTTGAAAATTTAACAAATGAAAAACATTCACGTTTAATTCGACCTCAATCATTATTATTTAATGATTCAATGAAGAAATCTTCTGATAGATTATCACCAACAATTGAAAGAAAATCTCAACCGATGAATAATTTCAATCCATTAAGAAAAACTAAAAGTCTTCATAATGTTGATCAATCCGAACAATTTTTATTATTTAATAAATCTCGTACAAATTTAACTAATGAACAAATTAATATTATTGATGATTTTCTTAAAGTAAATTTTAATTTTATTTTTATTTTTAAAATATATATTCCAATTTTATTTCATAGGATTATTCCTCACCGTATCCAATAACAATTCATAAAGTTCGTTCAACATTAGGTGTTGCAATTGAAGGTGGTTTTAAAGATCGAATTCCATTACCAAGAATTGTTTATATGCAGGTTATTATTTAAATTTAGTTCAATGAGATTAACAGATAAGACTATCGCTATTTACATAGGAATAAATAATCGAAGATTTATCTATCGATGATAAATATTATTCTAATAAAAATAAGTTCATTAATAGTTTTTGTTTTTAATCTAAATATGAATATCTTCTGACTTATGTTAGTAATAAAAGTATGAGAAACCGAAAACGAGTAAACATTTGCTTATCCATTTCGGTCTCTGATGTCTTAGGAAAAATTTGAAATGATTATAATATATTTTGTTTTAATTAAGCCTGATGGTTGTGCATATATTTCAAGTGGTCTTCGTGTTGGTCATGTAATAATTGGTTTAAATGGATATTCAATGAAAGGATTATTACATCGTGAAGCTGCATTATTTATTGCATCATCATTTAAAGATAAAACAACATCACAAATGGATTTATTAGTTGTTGAACCGTTAACTAATGAACAATAAGATTTTTCTCAGGAGACTTTTTATTTCTCATAATTGTATAAAGAAATCTTTCTCTCTCTCTATCTCTCTCTCTCTATATATATGCAATGATATATTATTGAACAGTTTTTATTTGTGTAGAGTATATTCATACTGAAATATCTAACGAACAGATTTTGTTTTTCTCTCGTTTGTATTGCTTAATTATTTGTTTTTTTTTCTTTTTTTCGAAATAAAATTGAAATTGTTAAAATGGTTAAATGATTGTATAAAATCTAGTTATAGATCAATGATTAAAACTAGTCGATATAGTTATATAATATATTATTTATTTATTGAATTATTTTTAACATTAATTTCATCTATAAATTGGATATGTCTTTTAATCTCATTAATAATTTATATTATTTTATTATTAAAAGAGAATGAAAAATGTGATAGATTTCATGATCATTATCTTTCATCATTAATATTTTCTTTATTTCATTATTTTCTATTTACATTATCATATGCAGAAATTCTTCCATGGGAAACTTTTATTGTTATATTTCTTATTATTTTAATTATTTATTATCAAAGAAAATTATATTTCTTAACAAATAAAACTTATTTGAATTGGTAACGAAAATAATTCTTTCGAGATATTTTTCTATTCAATTTAATTTTAGTTTTAATTTTGGAAAAAATCCTGAAGAATTTGATTCTAATTTGAATCTGTTAATAACAAAATATTTTCTAACAAATATTTGTTTTTATTTTTATACATTTCATTTATGTTCAACAACAATTTGTACACCACAAATGTATTTCAATTGGTTTCTTATTATAAACAATTGTCGTTATACATATTTTAGTTTCTTGTAAGAATTTATTATTTTATTCAAATCAAACAATTTATTTATTTATTATTTTTAGTTCAAGTTATACTCTCTCCGGAGGATTTATTGTTTCATTAACATGGACATTTATTTCCATTTATTATTTCATTCGTTTTAAATTCAGATAAACAAAACTGATATTCTATGATAAAGTTCATTTGTTTCTAATTGAAAACAATAAATAAAAGCTATTTCTATTTCAATAAGTCTTTATCGAATGAGAATATGAATTAGAAAATGTTGCTAGTTTATTTATTTATAAGTGAGATGAAGTAAGAAGAAAAGATATGAAAAAAATGCTTGATTAAATAATTTGAATATAAACAATGAAAATGTTATGTATGTGCAGCAACTTGTGCATAAGTTTGTTGAGTATGTTCAGTTTGTCCTTGTACATAAGTTTGTTGAATATGTTCAGTTTGTCCTTGTGCAACAGCTTGTGTTGTAATAACAGTTGTTGTTGTTGATGCTAAACGATTAGCTGAATCTTCTTGTCCAATATGAACAACTTGTTCAGCTATTTGTTCTAAACGAGCATTTGTAACTGCTTGAGCTTCTTGAAGAACATTTATTTTACGCTAAGAAAAAATAAAATAGAAAATAAAAAATAAAAAAAATCTTTTTACTTGATTTGCAGCTTGTTGTAATGAATCAATATTTTGTCTTGCATTAATAAGAATTAATTCTTGTTGATCATTTAATGCTTTTTCTAATTGTGCTAAATGTTGTGCTTTTTCTTCATTTAATTGATTGATTTTAATTTGTAAAGCATTTTGATATTCTTGTTGAAATAATTCCGATTTCGTTTGAGCTTCTAATAAAAGTTGTCGTTGTTTATCTTTTGTTTCTTCTAAAATTTTATTAATTATATTTCGAGTTTCAATTGATATTTGATGTGTTCGTTTTTGTGTATAATCATCAAGTTGAGCATGTGTTGTTGATAAACGATCCATTAATTGAGATAATTTTTCTGAACCAACATTTAAAGCAACTTTATTCACTGCATCATGACTTACAGCTGATGAAACTTGAACATTATCTTTATTAACTGTATTGTGTTTAACACCAGTTGATGAGACATTTACAATACTTTCAACATCGCTTTGAAATGACATTATGAATATTTTTATAAGAAATGAAAATTTATTGAAAATGATTTCTATATTTATAGTAGAACAATAAAATAGATAATAAACAAACTCTGATCAGCTTTTTCCGATAAAATATCTTATCTTGAATTTAAAATGTTTATTGAGTTGAAAGAAATTCTCAAGATAAGACATTTATCAATGATGTCTGATAACAATTTGTTAATGAAGAATTTTTCTCTCTCTATCAAATGTGTACTTTAGACTTTTTTTTCAATAGAAATTTTCATTACTAACAAATTCTGTACTTTTTTACTCGTCTTTTTTCTTCAAAAGAACTTTGCTCTTAAATAGATACAACAAATATCATATTTTAAGAATGTACTCAATGACTGATTTATATTGAGAATAAAAAAAGAAACGTGGTAAATATAGTCTATTTTAGTCTTTTATATGAAAGAGTATACAAGTCGAAAGTCTACTTTTATTCTTATCGACTTATTATTTTCATATTTTTTTTGAAAATTTACTGAACGATTATTTTAATACGAAACTAAATCTAGTATAATCGAACATCTTCAATGAAAGATTGAATATTATTATTGAATAAAAAAGAAGAAGAAAGTTAAAATATTTTATATAAAAAATTCTTTTTTAATAAATATTTATTAACATTGTCTTATAGAGAAGAATAGATTTGTTATCATATCTGAGTTACACAATTAATTAATATTAGGTTCGAAATCATTTCTCGAAAAAAGAGAAAAGAAAAATTTCGTATAATATTATTCTTAATTTTTCTTACATTCACTATAGATAGATAATTCAATTTTCCCTCAATGTAAATCATACGTCTTATTATACTTTAACAAAACTATGTAGTAAAAGACGCTTCACAAAATAGTTTTTTTTATTGATACTGTTGGATTTCTTACTTTCGAATGTATTTTTATAGTCTAGAAAATCTTTTTTTTAAACAAAATGATATACTCGAGAATTAGATTTCACAAGCATATCCAAAATCGACAATGTATTTAACAAGAAATCGAAAGACAAGATTCAACGTTTATTTTTTATTTGTTGTTGGGTAGTTTTTTAAACTTGTAAGTTTCTTGTTATATGAGGATTCAAAAAATAATTTAATCAAAATATCCTTTGCTAGATCGTTTCATTAAACAACCCAAATGTTGATTGATGTATTTTATTGAAAATTAAGACAGAACTTCTCAGCCACCATTACTGTATATGTCAAATAGACTTATCTATCAACAACAAAAAAATAATATTTTATATTATCGAACAAAAGAAGCTAATTATCTTTTATGAAATTAATATAGCAATGACGTACTTAAATAGTATTCTTATTACTAGTTATTATATATATGATAATTACTAAGAAGATTTCTCTGACAAAATATTTTTCATTAAAAATATTATCTAAAAAATAACCTATCAAATAAGAGTCACGAGTTTCTTCGTAGTAAATAGAAGATAATATCTCATAATATGTAATTATAAAATTATTCATATTAGAAATAAGAATACAAAACATAATTAAAATATATATTTGATTGAGTATTATAAGAATCTATTGATGAAAATTGTCACGAGTTATCTTTTCATGACATTTATGAAAATACTCAATAAAATTAAAAAAAAGACGATTTAATTGTTTATTTTTGCTAATTAAACAAAACAATATCAAAAATATATTATTATAGATCGATTCATTTCGAGATGAATATATTTATGTTTAAAAAAAATGGAGATATTAATTTGATTTTGAGATTAATCAATGATAATCATATGTTTATTTTTTAATAATAATAATAATAATATACGAAAGAAGAAAAAAACGAAATTTATTAAGCTATATATATTATTTGTAATCATTAAAGATGATCAAAGCAAAAAATACGTTTAAATAATTAAATAACTATTAACAATGAACGAACGAAAGAACGAAAAAGGTTAAGAACATTTAAAAAAAATAAATGAGTTAAAAAATAAACGACAACAACAAGTTTATTTGTCTGAGTTTTTTTCTTATAATCTTTCAATATATATCGATGGTGATGATCCACGTTTGGGTAAATGATTTTGTCCATATGAACGTCGTGCTCCTGTATTATGTATCGTATCAAGTGAATATTCAGGTGCTGGTTCTTCGTTAATGTTATTTAAATTTTGATTCATTGTTTTACCCATTAAACCAATTAAATTTGATGGTAATGGTTCTTCTTGACTTTGATTTGATTTTTGATTCATTGTTTTACCCATTAAACCAATTAAATTTGATGGTAGTAGTGGTTCTTCTTGAGTTTGATTTTGATTTATTGTTTTACTCATTAATCCAATTAAATTATTTGGTAGTGGTTCGTCTTGAGTTTGATTTGGTCTTTGATTCATTGTTTTACCCATTAATCCAATTAAATTTCTTGGTGATGTTTCTTGTATAACTTCAATTGTATTTGCATTTTGTGGTTGTTCTTCAGGTGTTTCATCAAGTTTCATTTGATTAGGCATAAGATTCTTCATCAAAGTACCTAATGCAGAATCTTCAGCAACAAAAT